TCTCGCTACATTGACTCTCCGCTACGCTAATCATGATTGGGATCCTGAAATACCACAACCCCCACCACCCAACATCCCCGCCGCCTGTGAGATGAGCTGTCGAACAGAACACCCGCCACAGAATGAACACCTTGCCTGGTACCCATTCGCTCACCTACTTTACCTCTGAGCACTTACGACTCTATTTGACTTCACCGCGCCTTTGCGCGCATGCCCCAAGGCCTTCCAGTCCCACTCGCCCGGAGTGCACCGCCATTTCACATCTGCAAGCAGCAAACCGTCCGGACATCTATGCTTTCGGTACGCCTTCGTCGCACCTGAAAGAAAGTTGGCTGCGTTGTCCGCCCGCCCGTACGTCGGACTCGCCAACGACGACACGCTCATCGGCTATAAAATCTCGCCACCACCCTGAACTCTCCGACGTCGCTGAATTGATCGCGTCAAAAAAGGCTCAACCAGCGGCTGAAAATGCGTGTGCAATTTTGCCGTCTTCTCAACGCCATGAGATGGCTGCAACCATCACCTCTGCTAACACCATCGAGATCGGCGGCAACGAGTTGTCTTCCAATGGCAATGGCCTGCCCAGATCCCACCGGGCCTCTTCGGAATGTTTCCCGAACGCTCGCGCTTCGCGATCCCCGATATACGGGACAACGTGACAGGTAACAGGTTTCTTGTAAGTTACCGCTGTGAACCGCCGCCCCCTGAGTACCGGCATCTGCGCCCCGGGCGGGCCAATTCCCACTTGGTCTCGTTTGGGTCGGCTCTCAGCCAGGAGAGTCGACGGGTCCCCGGTGAAATCCCTCCCGTCTGGTCCCGTCTGGTCGGGAGTTTGATTACCTATTGCTTCGTGGTGGGGGAACTTTGGGGCCTTTGGAGTCAGTCCAAGGCAAAGAAGACAACCTCTGCAACTGCAGCTTCGAACACGATCGTTCCATCTGGCTCGGCTCGAAGGCCAGGGGAACAAGGTAGCACCGGGCTTCGCCGGCCAGCACCGGGCTTGGATCACCTCCGATCTTGGTTTTTGCCCACCACTTCAGCCCCGGGAGCCAAGCCCACCGCCGTCCGTCCAACGCCAACACTATTCGTACCGGTGCCACCACCATCACGCTGGACCCCTGCCGCCGCCCGTCCAGAAGTGTTCCATAGTGCAATTTGCCCTCTCGACGCCATTGTCAATAATGGCCGTCTCTCCTGGTCTTCCCGACGGGCCTCGACTTGTCTGTCCACCTGCTGAACCCTCAAATGGGGCAACTGGCAATCTGCTTCAGGTCGACCTCAATTTTCCCGGTGCAGGGGTGGGCAAAGGAAACGAAACACAATTGGCGAAATGTCATCGAAAGCCCCCCTGGAAAAGCAACGAAAATAGTTTATGCTGCACCTGAACCCCCAAATTCGCACCTCTAAAGGTGACCTATGCAGTGTGATTGGGAACAGACCACCATCAAATGAGGCTCCCTCATGCGTCCCACGTGGGGGCAGCCCAGCTGTCCTGCTTTGAGCTTGTGTACACACGGCCAAAGGATCGTCCTGGTGGTTGGGCTGAAGTTCCAGGGGCTGCGGCGCTTGAGAAGGTCTGCCATTCTCGGCGACGAATCAGCACTCTGCAAGGCAACATCACTGCGATTACACTTGTTTATCACGATGAAGATGAACAGGGTATTTGGTTTTCTTTCTTTCTTTTTTTTTGCTTATCGTATTTGTCTCGCTGTTTCGCTAGGCTGCTTCGTGGCTCACTCGTCAAAAAAACATGCATGTATCCGTACCATAACGCCGAATAGCCATCCACCACCGGCCGACACCCTCTCAGTTCGGCCTCCAAGGGGTATAATCACTCTTGAGCTGCAGCCTTGCCCGACGCAGCCAGTCTCATTTCTTCTTCTGCAGCTTTTCCTTCTCCATATTCTCCGAGCACACGGGGCAGAACCATGTCCCATTAGGCTCGCTCTTAAGGCCGACGCATGACCAGTGGAACCACTCATAAGGGCAATCCTCATTGTCGCACGCCACCATGTCGCCAAAGCTGACATTTTGACACGTGCAGTACTTTTTGTCGTCGCCGGCCTCGTCATCTTCGGCGTCGAGCATGCTGTCGTCCCCGTCCCCGTCTTTGCCGTTACGCGCTGGTGTACCGCTTGCCCGGTCGGCCCTGCTACGGTCGCCGTCATCGCCACTACCACTCTCGGCATCCGACAACTCGCTGTCTGCTGTCGACGCCGGAGAGTTGCGGCTCCCTGCCTTCTTCACGCGGGACAACGACGACTTGTTGCCATTGGCAATGCTGCCCTTTTTGCGGTTTGCGGCGCCAGGTGTTCCTTTCCTGATGCCAGACACGCTGGCAGCCTTGGTTGATGACGACCGCGGCCCGGCGCTACCAGCCCGCACAGCACCGCCAGGGCCCGGGTTCGTGGCTCCTTTCGGAGTGCCCGGGCCGAGGGAGGAATGCCTCGCCAGCCCGCTCGAGGTCGCCGGCAAGCTGCCCAGTCCGGAGTTGGACCGCGGGCCCCTCTTAGGCGCGCCGCTTCCTGGTCCTGCCGAGCTTTCTCTTGCCTGGCGATTCATTATCATGCTGGCGGCAGCCGGTGTCGCGGGCGCCGAGGAGGCGTGTTGCTGCGATATTGTGTTGCGAACCTGCGGGTTGCCGACGCGCACGGTAGCGGGGCTCGACGAGTTGACGATCGGGTTCAACGGGGTCGCGGTAATGGCCCCGGCCAAGTGGCTCGCCGGGTTGACGGCCCTGGCGGACGGAGCTGAATGGTTTGCCGCGCTTGGGCGTAGCAGCGACGGACACTCGTCTGGATCGGTGAACCCAGGCTCGCTTCGATCGTAGAGCATCTTGATGTGCTGGTCCAGGTTCCGCAGATGCTTGTCCATGATGAGCTGCAACTTCTGGGTCAGGGCGATCTTCTCGGTGGCCAGCTGGTCGGCGCGCATGTAGTTCTCGCGCATCTGTGTCCTCATGCCGTCCTCGCGAGGATTCGTCTCGTGGCTCCCGTTCGCCTTGATCCATTTCTGTATCTTCCCATCGCGGTCCTCGATCAGCTTGACGCAGTCGCCGTACTGACGGTCCTTGTCGGCGATCTCATCTTGCAAGAACCGGATCTCCTCGGGGAGGTTCTGGACGCGGTTGATCCAGTCGTCGAGGATGATGGCCGGGTCAAGAGCCTCGGCTGCCGGCATCCTCTTGACGAAGTCGATGGACAGGTCGTCTCTAGGCATCTTGAGTCAACGATGCGCTCTAAGTATGCAGAAGCTGACGTAGGCAACAGAGCGAGGCAACAAAACGGCGGAGGCGGCGATGATATGCTTGGACAAGGGCGCAGGGGAGGGCGGCGGCAGGTGGTGGGATGAGCGCGCAGTGGAGGTGCTCGCCAAGCGAGGCAGCGGCGAGTATTACGACGGCCGGAAGCAGGCAATGTGGAGGGCAACGACTGAAGGAAGGTAAAGAGTGCTGAGACCGTCGTGACCCAAGGCCATCAGAAGAAGGAAGAAAGGAGATAAGATAGATAGGCAGGGCAGGTGCGGAGTAGAAGTAGAGCAAAGGCCCAACAGTAAGGTAGGCAAGTGGGAATAGTGGCACGCAGTATGACGGTGATGGCGCGGCAGCAGATCGGGGACCGTCGTGTGGGCTGACCGGCGGAGGTTCAGGGCCGCGGTCGACGAACCACAGACTACGGGCCGCGATCACGATGTGCGTGCTCTCAGTATACCGCAGTTGAAGACAGTGTGAAGGGAGGGAGGATAGCAAGAATCGCGCTGCCAGGAGCGTCGACGACAACGGAGTGCTTAATGACTGGCTTGGCTCACCTGGTTGAGGTTGGACCGACGGGCAGTCGACGGAGGCTCCAGACCAAATCCAGATCACACGCAAGGCAAGGCAAGGCAAAGGCAAGGCGGAGCGAGGCGAGTCGCGGCGACGGTCGGGCCCTGCCTGTGATCCCGGAATGTTTTTATTAAATAGTACGTCCCTGCTGGGAAAGCGACGTGAATTTTTTTCGACGCGCGAGGGTGGGGTTGGAAGAGGCTGGAATCACGTTTGTGGTTCCAGTTGCGGGTGTGTGGTGTGGTGCGGTGGCAGCTCTGGGTTTCTGTGAGGGAAATCGGCTGGTGCGTGTCGCGTTGGGTTCGGCGGCGGGCAAGTTTGCGAACTCGTTTCTCCCATCCAGTCCAGTCCAGGGCACTGAGCCAGTAAGCTGAGACGGGACGAGACTGGCGGAGACGGGAGTTTTAGCCTCCGACTGCCAGGCCACCTTTGGGCTCTGGCACGGAGCCTGTGGACATGTTCCACTGGGCATTGCAGGTTTTTAGCGGGTCCGCGGTGGTGCCTTTGAAGGCACGTACCTCATTGAATGGGCAAGAGCCTACATCCTATTCTTGCTAAGTTGCCATGTGCAAATACACACAGCAGGCTGCGTACTCTGTTTGTAGGTACTGTTATGTGGCATGCAAAAATCATGAGAGGAAAACTCGCACCTTGGGTATCCGGAAGGAACCAGAAACCTCGAGATTGAGCCACACTGAGGCTGGTGCCCAAAAGCAGCTAGCCTCTCTGGGTAGAGTGTGTCCAACCACGAACTTTGGTGGTCCCTGCACGCCACCAGCCACTACGACTCGACCTTGGTGCCCTCCGGCTGGGCTCGAGCTGCCTTAGTGGCCAGTAGCGGCTTCGTCCCAAACGCCTGTCACATCTCATCCAATCGAACCTGCACTCATCCAGCCTTTCGACGAAATCTCCCATTCGCATCGCAATCAACAACAACGACACCACGGAATTATAGCATAGCTTTTTCGACACATGCGTTTTCTCAGAGAATCACGCACATCTCAGACAAGACATTACCCGGATCTCCCACGGCGCAACCTCCCCACCCTGTCAATTTGTCATCTCCATCGCCTTCACACCAGGGTCAGCCAGTCTTGAGCATTGCGAAGCATCACAGCCAACACCAGGGCCCAATATCGGGAGCCTCGGCGGTATAGCCGTCACCTTCACCTTCATCATGGACGCAAACGCCTACAGATTTCGTGCACCGAAGCCTAATTATCTTCCCCATCGGGCCGACAAAGACGACATTGTCGAGGAGTACACACCTCTGGGCAAGGCCAGCGAGCTCGATGAAGCCAGGTATCTCAACAAATGCAAGCGCACCGCTCTCGAATCGGGCATCACCCGCCCCAAGGGATACACCGTCTCTTTCCACTGCAACCCCGAGATGGAGAAGCATCACTTTGGGCAGACCCATCCCATGAAGCCATGGCGCCTCACCCTATCAAAAAGTCTCATCTACTCCTACGGCATGTCCTTCGCCATGGACAACTACATTGCCCGCGCCGCTACTTACGAAGAGCTTAACGATTTCCACTCCGACGACTATCTGGACTTTCTGGGCACCGTCCTCCCTGAGCCTGTCCCGCGGGATGTTGATAACGCCAACCCCGATCTCAAGTTCAACCTCGGCGGCTCCGACTGTCCCCTCTTCGAGGGTCTGTACGACTACTGCTCCATGTCAGCAGGCGGCTCCCTCGATGCCGCGCGGAAGATTTGTGCCCAGCAGTCTGACATTGCCGTTTCCTGGGGAGGCGGTCTTCACCATGCAAAGAAAGCCGAGGCCTCTGGCTTCTGCTACATCAATGACATCGTCCTCGCTATTCTGCAGCTGCTACGCTGCTATCCCCGCGTTCTCTATATTGACATTGACGTTCACCACGGAGACGGCGTCGAGGAGGCTTTCTACTCCACCGACCGTGTCATGACGGTCTCGTTTCACAAATACGACCCTCTCAACTTCTTCCCCGGCACCGGCGGTCTGGACGACAACGGGCCGAAGAATGAGCACAACCCAGGTGCCCACCATGCCATCAATGTGCCCCTCAACGACGGAATCACAGATGAGCAGTACAAGTGGCTCTTTGAGAATGTTATCGGCCAGTGCATGGAAAAGTTCCGACCAAGCGCCATCGCTCTGCAATGCGGTGCCGACTCTCTCGCCGGTGATCGTCTGGGTCGCTTCAACCTGCAGGTGCAAGGACACGGCGCCTGTGTCGAGTTCTGCAAAAAGTTCAATGTACCCATGATCCTCTTTGGAGGTGGCGGATACACGCCAAGAAACGTGGCCCGCGCGTGGGCCTTTGAGACGAGTATCGCCATCGACTGCCAGGACAAGATCGATCCCATCATTCCGACGCACGCCCCTTGGAGAGAGCAGTTCAGATATGAGGAGCTTTTCCCGACCCTCGAGCAAATCTTGGGCGAGCCGCGCGCGAACCGCAACCCGCAAAAGCGACTGAACGACCTCGTTCAGCATGTGACGGAGCAGCTGAGGTTTGTCCAGGCAGCTCCGAGCGTGCAGTATCAGGTTATCCCGCCCGATCTGGGCGGTCTTAGGGAAGACGTCGAGGAAAAACTCAAGGAGGAAAGGGAGGCCGAGAACGACAGCATCAGAAAAGCACGCGAAGAGGCCGTCGGTTCAGCCATGGAGTATTAAATAACCACAGGCAGTGCTATGCTTGAGGTTATTGGGACTTCGCGTAGCCCATGCCGGCGTTGGGGGCGTTTTATGATACCGTAAAGAGTTGTCTCTCGCAACGAAATATACCATTTTGTTCAAAATGACCATCTCTTTCTTTCTGCCTCTCTAGCCCAGCCACGTTCATTTGTGGGGTTTGCGAGACTGAAAATCTCCAACTCTACGTGCAATATCTGCGAAGAGCGATTCCATATCGACCCCATAAGGCGCGGTGTTGAGCAATAACTGTGCTTCGGAATTCGATTTATTACGTTACGGCCAATGCAAGGGGTGGGAGCACTTTTGCGGTGTAACGTGCCAAAAGCCGGCGTCTCATTCGATCTTATTTGGCTGCCTAGAGCGACGCATCCACCGCCGAACACGATCGGAAAACAAGTCCAGCTGCCGCCCCATCTCCAGCCAAAGTTGAACGCGGAGACGCACGAATTGCCCAATCACACCGCACCTCTCAATGAGCACTTAAGCTTAATCCCAGCTCCGTCATGCGATGGGCCTGCAACGGGGCACCAATATTGGGTTGGACAAGAGAATTTTGTTCGGGAAGGATCCTGGTCGTAGCCCATTTCTTACTCCCCCGGATACGATGGCCTACATGCGGCTTAGTCCATGCTTGGAGTGACATCGCCGCAACCTCGAGCCGCACGGCATGTCCGCCCTCATGGCATTTATCAGATGGCACATTGGCAAGAAAAGCATGGCTGTCTGCCGGCGGGCCTGTTGTTTTACCTTTGAGCGGTCACATTGAGAGACGATTGAGTATCCCGCCCGGCCAAAGACCCAAGACTGTGACGGCGAAGGATTCTGTGGCGCGGTCTGACCAGAATCGTCAACTCGTTTATTGTCTCAGGGGGGCATGTTACTCTTCTGCCTGATTTGACCCATCCACTCCAATTGCATATATTAAACTGACGGCACATTCCAACTCCCAATATTGGTCGGTACGCCAAATCATCAGTCTTCTTCCCTCCACACGGCAAGATGGTTCTCTCCACACTCTCCCTCCTGGCTCTGGCGCCGGCCGGTATCCTCGGCCTCGCCACGCCGTCAGCCGGTCTCAGTCGCCGCGCAGTTGACTGGAGCAAGTGGAAGCCCGGCGTGTCGTTCCAGATCATCCTCCACGAGCCCATCAAGCACGACAGCACCGCCGACATCGTGCCCGCCAACGCCGATGTATGGGATATTGACCTGCAGCATGCCGATACCTACCGGGACATGATTCCCACTCTCAAGGTGAATACTCTTCCCTTCTAGCTCACCCCAAAGAGAACGTATTGGCTAATCCATGATCGCAGGCTGCAGGGAAGATTGTCATCTGCTATTTCAACGGCGGTGCAGTCCAGGACTGGGACAACGATATCGCCGAGTTTCCGGAGGAAGCTATCCAGAAGCCCCTCGAGGGTTACCTGGACGAGAGATACCTCGACATCAGGAACAGCAAGGTCATCGACGTGATGAAGGCGCGTCTCGACTTGGCCGCAAGCCTCGGTTGCGATGGTGTTGATCCCGACAACATTGATGCTTGGGCTCAGGTAAGCACTGGAATGTTGCCCATGTGGAGAGAGCACTTTATCTAACCAGACATAAAAAAGGACGACGAGGACCCCACAGGCTTCAACCTCAAGGCTTCCGACTACGCCTCGTACCTCAAGGCACTGGCATCCCACGCCCACTCCCTCACCACGCAGGAAGGCCGGGCCCTCATGATTGGCCAAAAGAACGCGCCCGAAATCGCCCCGGACCTGGTTTCCACTGTCGACTTTGTCGTCCTCGAGACGTGCCTGGGCACCCGCACCTCTGACGAGGTCGAGCCTTTCTGCTCTGAGTTCCAGCCCGTCATCGCCGCCGGCCATCCCGTGTTCCAGATCGAGTACCCCCTCAGCGTCAGGAACGGTGTCGCCATCAGCCAGGTCGACTACAATTACTTCTGCGTCAATAAGAACGGCAACGAAGGGTTCAGCGAGGTCATCAAGCACGCGAGCGAGCAGGTTGACGGCTGGGGACAGTTTTGCGGCTTGGGCACGACGGGTGGCCGTTTCGAGACGCCTACTTTTGACGGATAGGATGGAACAGCATCAATGGCTAGAGCGGAACAAGACATGACAAATGAGGATGACTAAATCATGATTCAATTCCTGTACCTACTTTTCTCACACACGAAAGAACATACGAGACAACTTTTCATACGTTGACAAATTTCCTCGACACCTGCAGGCCATGCGATGATACAAAAGCGCCAATGAAGCAAACGATATTTCAAGGAAAACATCCGTCACGAGCCCTACCATCAGTTGTAGCCAACAGCCGATTCGGCTTCCTGTTCCAGCATTTTCCGCTTCAGCCCCCTCGCCCTAAGAGCAACGTATCCAACCATCATGATACCAACGGCGAAGCCGGCCGAGAGCAGAATGACATTGACAGGAACGGGATCGCCTCCGAACGTCTCGTGGAACAGGACGTCCAAGCCTGACTGGAAGAAGTTGAAGAGGCCGGAAAGGCAAATGATGGTGCCGTACACGGTGCCAAACGTCTCGAAGCCAAAGACCTTGGCGGTGTAGTCCGACACCGCAGTGTAGTAGAAGGGGCGGTAGAGCACAAAGAGACAGATTTGGATGTACGCCGCCCAGACGTTGTTGATGACGCCCAAAACGCCAATGGTTGTGGCAATGGTCACGAGGGCGGAGAGCACTGTAACGGTGCTCGTGTGGTCAAGGAGCACCCCGATAAATGGGATAGATAAGATGCCTCCAACAGGCAGGGCAATATCGAAAAAGTTGTTGATTTGGACGGCCTTGTCGTGGTCTCTGAAAATGACCTCGTACTGTGACCTAATGGTGGCCACAAAGTAGTTGATACGGAGCATCTGGATGACGGTGAACAGGCAGATGAGGATGAACCAGGGAGACGCAATCTGCCTCAGAGCCGTCCGGTTGTGCATTACGCCCCAGACTCCCGAAATCTCGTTCTTCTTCGCCTCGTGGCGCGGCTGCTTGCCCGCCTTCTGGGCGCCGATGAGTTGCTCAATGTCAGCCACGACGGAGTCGCGGTGCTGGCGGCGCTCTTCGCGGAGCAGAGCCGTGGTCTCGTCGACCTGGTCGTCGTACGGGCTCGGGTCGGCATCGCTGGCCGCCGCAGCCTCCTCCTGTTGTTCAACCAATTCTCCAACCGTCTTGTAGGACTGCTTCGGCATAAGCGTGAGCTGGAAAACGATGATCAACACTGGCACAATCAGGTACACCATGAAGAACTTGTCGTGGCCGAACGTGCCGTCGGTTGCTTGGAAGATCAAGCGATACACTAGGAACAGGGCACTCGAAGCGTCAAAGGCGCCCGTCAAAAGGGCGAGGATGAGGCCCGAGTGCCTGGGGAACGCATTGGAGAGCTGGAAGGATGAAATGTACGTAAACGGACCTCCCAGCGCAAGCGATAGGTATCCGATCAGGAAAGCATCGAAAGGCAGCCGCTTGGCGTATGCCATCAGAAGAGAGCCCAAAATCAGAAACATGCTCCCAATGATGCCGCATACTCGGGGGCCGAAATGGTCGAGGATGGCGCCGACTGGTAGGGCAGCAACGTTGGTACCGACAGCTGCCACCGTGAACATCAGGTTAAGATGAATCTCGACGCAGGTGTCGTCCGGGGACGCGCCGGGATCTTCGGCGGAGCAGATGTCGCTGTAAGCACCTTCACGCTTGAGGACCGGCTTCAGCGCTGCGAAGCCAAAGGCGACACCGGCAGCAAAGAGACAGTAGACAACAGAAACGGCAACTTGGACTGTGCGGGCGGTCAGCGGCTGCTTCTTCCAAGAGACAATTGTTACATGTCGTCGGCTGGATGCGCATGTAAGCGCGGAACTCACGGATTCTCTTCCATTGTGGGACCTCAAAGGCTCCAACAGCGTGAACGGTGTCGGGCTTGGCTGCGGCAGGATCCCACTCGTCGGGCAGAGGGTTGAAGCTCAGCCTGCCAGCCCGTACACTGGAGGCATCGCTACCTCGCCTCGACCTCTGGCCTGGAGGAAGGAATTGGAATGTCTCGACGGAGGCAACGCGATTCAGCGACATGGCGACGATTGCTGCGCCCGGGAAGCAAAAGCTTTCAAGACGACGAAGAATTCCCAGCGAGCCTCGATTGTCTGTGTGAGGCGCTCTTCGAGAACGGCGCCTATATTGGAATGCGACCAGAAGCCGGTAGGCTGCCGCTGTGTCACTGACGGCAGCTAGGTCTATCGTGGCTGAGCTGTCTCGCGAACTTGAATCGACAGTCGGGCTAAAGATGCGGGGTGAAACAGGGATTCCGCTGTCTAGGTGGCACAAGGTGCAATATGATCGTGGGACCAGGCGAGGAAGAGGGAAAGGGTACTGAAGAAATAAGTAGGTTGCCGGTCGGCCAGGGGAGAAAAAAATCGACGTTACGCGTGAAGAGAAAAAGGTTTCTCGGAGGACGAGAGCAGTCAGGTGGCAACGAAGAGAAGTTCCGGAAGGGTGGGGGCCGATGGTCAAAAATATCGACTTGTTCTTCCTTGCGAGAGCTACTGCAATGCGATGCAATGCAATGCAAGCTTGGAGAAATTCAACTGGGGCCAAGGGAATGAAAAGGTGGAAGAAGACTGAGGCGGACAATGGCAGCAGAGAAATAGATTTGCCAATGGCAAGGTGTAAGCTGAACCACCCAAGGCGTCATCAGCGAATCCAGATGCATTGCTGCTCGCGTTTCTGGTGTTGCTTTCCCCTCACTCGCACCTATTGCATGGCCCCTGCTCCCGCTTTGTTTAGCCTGGACTTGATCAGACGCTGCGCTTGGCCTGCCCAGCACTGCTCTCCTTGTCCGGGCTGTGTTGAGGGGGATTGCCCCGTCCAAACAACCGCCTGGGATGACGAACGCGCGCATGGATGAATGGAAGAGGGATCACTTCGTCATGTGGTCTCCAACACATGACGGTCCGCATGGGCCCGGCCGGCTCGGCTGTGGCTTGACGATTTGGAGATTTGGAGATCCATTGTCTTGCTGGAGAACAACAGATGAATTAGATGCCCAACCCGTGCCCAGCTGCCAAACAGGCGCCGTTCGCCGATGGCCTGCCAGTCCGGCTGGGACATCAGAGAGAAGGAGAAAAATTCAAATTGTTCCTTGTTCACTGGCGTCGTTCCCTGCTGGACATACAGGGTAAGTGGCCGGGGCAAACCAACGGCGGCAAGATAGTGGGCTTGCAGTGTGGAAGTCGATACCCATGCCTTCCGGGGCGGATTCTCCACCAGGCGCACAGCCAGCGGCATCAGTGGCTACCGGTTCTACTCAACTCATTGGCTCCCGCATTTCGAGATGCCGCTTGTACCCAAAGCGGCTCAATCTGATCCGTCAAGCCATGCCGAAAGGCTGGTAAAAACCGTTTTACATAATGCCATCGAGTATTCAAGTCATTCGGCGCCGCCAACGAGCAGCAGTCTTACCCGTGACCATTATCTCCGGGCTTGGTACTACTTGAGCGTTGCCCGAAAACGACGGCTGAAAACTCTGAACCCCTCCATCTTCTCAGATGGGCGCCTGGTTGCGACTTCGGCCCGGATCCGGGGGGCCTTACTGCTCTAGGCCTGGCGATGGCCGGGTTCTGATGTGGGCCGGCCGGCGTCGGCGAGTTGCGGCGGCGGCTGACCGGCGACGTCCGACCTGCAGCTCCGAGATTTCAACCTCTACTCTCAACCACACATCGGCCCGAAGCGGCGCATCACTCGCTGCTTCGATGGAAGACGCGCGGAAGAAAAAAAAGGCTAGGTCGATCGTGAGCAATGAATTAAAAACTAACGTTGCGTCGGCAATACACGAAGCGGCTATAAGGGTCCCCCCAACGCCCGCGGGCTGTGCTCATCCATCATGAGACCGCTCGCGCAAAAGGATATAAGCATGGCAGGGCAAACAGCGACAAAGGAAACGATGCGTCAAGATGGTAATGCGCCGGCGAGGGCTACCGTTCTGTCCTTCCCCAATCTTCCCGTCCATTTTTATGCAAACTACCCGAGTCGAGTATCCATCATTATATTCTCCATGTAATCTTGCTTTCCAGTAAGGTCGGCCTGGCTTCCTCCGTTTCCTCCTCCGCGCAAAAAGGTGTGCCTCGTTCTCGAAGCAGTCGTCGTCGCAGGAACGTAATTCGTTGGCATTGGTCCGCTTGCTGGTAGAAAAAGAGATGACCGTCCGTCTCGCTCAAAGGGTTTCCGGGGGGGTAGTTCCAATTGCGCCGTTTGGCCGGTGAAGGCCGCAAGGCTGTTGACCTCGCCTCCAATCACTCCAACTTTTCCTCTCCAAACCCTTCTCCACAACATGAATATTATGCACAATCAATTAAAAAAGGCCATCACAGATCGTGTGCGGAAATCAGGTCTTTAGTCAATCCGCTGGTCGCGGTCGTGTCATGGCGATCCGTCGATATTCTTTGAGGTATTCACGAGAATCAAAATGCCCAAAAACCTCGCCAGGAAATCCCTGGTCGTGGCTCGCTCAGTAGAAGCGGATGATGGCAGTGCCGTCGCCGGACATGGCCGTCTAAACAATTGCTGTCAGCATACGCGAAATCGAGATATCGCGAGCGGGTGTTCAACTTACAGTACAGCCAGTGCCACCACCAGTGTAGGAGCCGTCGACGAGCGCGCACTTGCTGTTAACATCGCCAGTGATTTCAATGTTGAAGTCGAGCTTGGCGGTCGAGGTCGGGGCATTGTTGAAGATGGAGAGGTAGGTGTTGCCGTCGGCGCTCTTGCCAACACCAATGTTGACGGGAGCCCAGTTACCGGCAGCGAGGGGGTCGGTGGCACTCTTCCAGACGCAGGCATCCTCAACAGCGACGCCCTGGTTGTTGACGTAGTACTGGGCGGTGGTAGGGCTGTTGTTCCAGACGTAGTAGTCGGGAGAGTAGGGGTTGGTCAGCTCCAGCTTCTGGCCAGGCTCAGGCACGGTGGCGATGACCATGGCCTCGTTACCGGGGTAGTCGGTACGGCATACGCAGGAAGACTTCTTGAGGTCGTTCTGGACGTAGACGCCGCCAGCGCCCTTCTCGCAAAGGGTCTTC